GGCTGTACGATGTTCCGGTCACCAGCTTTTACATAGCGGCCAACGAGCCCCTAACGCGGTCAGTGAACAAACAACATCAGCAGATCAAGCGTTGTGCTTCGGTGATGTCGGCGCGCAAAGAGGCCAATAAATACAGACGGTTTGGAACGGACATAGGTTGGTGTCGATGGCTAAAATTTGGTCTGTGGGTCAATGATGTTTTAAGAGGGGGGGGGGGCAAAGCGTTTCGTTTAGCGGCTAATTTTCTGGGCTAAAAAATCGTTTTTGTCGTGAACATAACGTTTGTTGTGTGGACAGTACTGGCTAAAGATAAATATGTTTCATGTTGAACTTTAGGCACACAAAAAAAATAAACGCACTACAGTTTATAAGTATAAGTCATCGAAAAAAAAATGTTTCTTTTTTTTTCATTGAAATACTTTTGTGTAAATGTGAAAAACGTGTTCTACATAAAAATATAAGTTTAGTTTTTGAAATAATTTTGTTACCTCGGCGGTATCATTGCCTGTGAAATGTTGATGGGTTAACGGAGAACAAATATAATTCCAAGCGTTGAAAATCTACTTCATTCTTTTAGATTTATTATTTCAATAAAAACAAGATTGTCGATCATAAGAACTCAAAATAATGGCTATTTTAATATTGATGATATTAGTTTTAGCGATTTTTATTTGAATTGCGCCGTTGTTGCTGGAACAATAACGTTTTTTTTTTCTAAGTCTTACCTACGCTCATTGACCGCTAATCGAAATGTTAACATTTTAACGTCTTTTTTTACTCGTGCGCGCCTTCTATGGATCCCCAACGGGTCTTAGCAAACCTACGCACTCGACCGATTAAAACCAGTTATTATATTCGAAAAACTGCGGTCTGATCGCTGATGCGAATACAAAATCACTCGTCCGCATACACACGACGGCACGTGCTCTTATTTCGGCTAATTAACACTGAAAATGTTAATTCATCCATATTTCAGACTTGCTAATTGTGACAAACTCTCAATGTTGACAGTTTAATTTTACTTAATTCACAAAACCATTCTATTCCGTTGCGTCGTTTTGGAGTTCCAAAGTTATGCAATAACCTTCTCTACTTTAGACCACGTGAAAATATATGTTTTATATCTTAAAATATGTAACTTTCAAACAATGCAGTTGTTTATTAAGCGACAGCGCATTGTGGCGGCAGTCCATATGAAATTACAGAAATTTATTCAAATAAAACAATAGACGATTTTTTTATCTGTAATCAAACCTAACTAGACACAATGTCGACGGAATTATTTCTTCAGCGAATTCAATGTCGATCGGATCTAACTGTTTTAATTTTATCAACCAACAGCGGAACACTCGAGTTGACATGGTGATGTACAGTTATCCCAAAACGGTTGTCTATGACTTTTTAGGTATTTAGGTAATTTAATACACTGTCACGGTGTACACGCGAACGATTGGCCCGGAACAGAATATTAAAACTTGCTAATTTAAATTTCGGTCTGACGATGCAAATGAATATTGTAGTTGACGCGGTTTATTTGCGGTAATGCAAAAGAGATTAGCCGATGTATTTTTATAGCAATAATATCATTATATACATCAACATGTAGATTAAAAAAGTTTTGCATATTCCCGTCAATTTTTTTTTCCGCGTGCTATTATAATAATATGTAAATTGTGTCGAGGATTTTTAGAATCAAAAAAAAACCCAGAAAACTCGTTTACGTCAAGTTTGAAGATTGTTTACTTTTATAGGAGCGTATTATTTCAGCGATTTTAAGTATTCAAATTTAATTTAAACAAACGTCGACGTTGGCTTTGAAAGTCTCTTGAAGTATAAACCACATCGATTAGCTGTGCACTCGTTTTGGTAGAGATGTCCAACACTCGTTGGTTTTCCAAAGCGAAACGGAAATCAAATATGAACAATATTAGACTTCGAAATTACCGATAAAAACAATCGAATTGTCACACGTTCTTCAGACTCGATTGAAAAATGACGTGTTCTATCATCAGGTTGCGTTGGTCGACAGCGGACCGTTAATTATGAAATTATTTTATTTGTCGTCCAAACAATCTAAATAATGTTAACTGTATTCAAAGAGCACTCGGGTTGCTGTAAAATAAGTGTGGTCGGTGAAATGTTAACTGAATAAACAACATTAGTGTTTAGGTACAATTTTAATGGCTGAACATTTTCTCTGGAATCGTAATTACGCCATTATTTATTCGTTACCGTAGGTAGTATATCAATTTAAATCTTAAATGGTAGCTTTTTAGTTTTCCAAATAAACTTTCAGTTTGTCGTTTGCAATAAAATATGATAATTGTTAAATTATTCATTTTCTTCTTTTTAATTCAGGTGTCAACATTTATTTTGAATAAGTCCTACACAGTTTTAACTTGTAAACTTCAAATTATAACTCTCATTAGGTATTTAAAGTTGAAATAGATTTTATTTTTAACCAGAATAAAACTAAAATTAATTCAATAGTCTTTTACGTTACTTTGGGGTTTTTGATAATAAAACTTTTACGGCCTATAGACAAGAATACAGTTGAATAATTACACATATAAATATAATGACACAGAAAACATACAATCACATTACGATATGTGGTAATATTACAATATATTTTAATTTAGGAATTTCATTAAAAAAAAAAAACGGTAGCACAGTGGGGTCGCGGCATAGTAGAGACATTGCATAGTAGGGTCCAGTATAGATTTAATCTGACAGTGATTAAAATCACTATCATAAGAAACGCTTCGATGCAAATCTGTAGATAGTGTTTAATTTTAAAAAATTGATGGATAATTGCAAAAGCAACATCAACTTCTATTAAAATAAAATACAAAACCCATAATTATCATACAAAAATAGTATATTTTTCAATATGGTAGCCATTTGCG